GCGCGGGGGGGTGGGGGGGGGGGGGGGGGGGGAGGTGGTAGGATGTCTCTCGCTGTCCCCAGGGGAAACACAGGCCCGCTGCCCGCGGCCTCCAGCGACAGCCACTGCGCCGCCCCTGGGAGGAGCCGCGGCCGCGGAGCGATTCAACGGAGCCATCGCCACGGCCCTTCCCCGCCCCTCGGCCGGCCCTCGCTCCGCTCTGGGCCGGCCTCTCCGCAGCGCCCGCCCCGCCCGCGACCCTTTCCCCGCGCGGCCCGGGGCCTGCCGGGCATGTGGCGCCTCGCGACACCTGGACCCCGAAGCCTTGGCCGCTCGGCCACCTCCACCCCCTCCCTTCTGCCCTGCACCAGCTGAGGGGGCATCCGTAAATACGGTCCTGGCCTTTGCTTTTTCAGTGTCCCGCTGTGCGGTGCGGTCCAGAACGACCTGGGTGTGAAGGCATCACATCGTCCTGTGGTAGTGTTACAGGATCGTACAGTATATGTGTGTAGGTACAGTATATATATGTAGGTACAGTTACAGGATCATACAGGATCAACTAGTGTTTTTGCGGGCAGGGAATTTAAAGTCGTCCAGTTCCAACCCTTATCACTGAGGTGGGCAGAGCACCCTGTGGACCATGTGGAGCATTGGGGGCCTTTCCTTTTAAATAACCTTGCTGAATAAATTTAAAAATCTGAAACCACCCAGTGAAAATGGGTCCTTATGTTCTTGGTGGCTGCCTTTTCAACCAAACTGCCTTTGGAAATGCACGTGGGTATCAGTAAAATGGTTTCAGTGGTTGGTGTTTCAGGAAGCAGGTAACTCAGAATAAAATGTATGCAATGGTGGGGGGAGGAACTCTATCCTGTTAATATTTACCAAGAACCACCTTGATGAAGGCCCTTGTGTTAAGGAGTTCTGAGCTGTCTTGTGAGAAAGCCTTGTTGGCACTTGTACTGAACAGTCATGTCCTGTGTGAGGAAGTGCAGAGCATGCTGCAGAGAGAGAAGCCCATGCTCCATGAAAGAGACAAAAGATCAAAAGCAGTGAAGAAATTATGGTAAAGCAATTAACATTGGGATATTCACTATTGTTCATGTGTCCCTTTTCCAGTAGCTGAAAAGCAGTTTTGCTCTTCTGCCTCAATAAAGCAGCGGCCCCAAAGATGCCTTTTCCAAAACCCCAAAGTGCCCATGGCATTAAAATTCTGCACAATTAACTGCTGGTTAATGGAGCTAGAACTGACCCATTTTGACAAAGGGGATCAGAGAGCGTGCCAGAAAACTGGAGGTGATGGCCAGTGCCCCAGCTCTTTCATTCCAGAAAATTGCAGGAACAAACAGTTCTAGCATGGTTATCCTCACAAAGAGAAGTGGGGAGCAGCAGAGAGAAGTGTATGGTGAGAAAAGGAAGAGGAAAGACATTTCAATTCTCTCTTCCCTTTTGTTATCTCAACTCAGTAACACCTTATGCAACAGGTCTGGGTTTTGTTTAAATTGAGACTGTGAAAGTTTCCTGACTGTAAAACTGTAACAATAAGAAGTACTTGTGATCTTTTGAAGATACTTTTCTTTTTAGCGGAAAAAAATATATATATGCAGGAAAGTTTGTACTAGAACAGCGAGTTAAAGCTTTTTCAATACAGAGTCAGGATATTTCTTTTTCCTAACATAATAAAAGGTGTGACAAAACTAGTGGTATCACAAAAGTCTGATCTGGGAGAACATTGCAGGGTGAAACTGGACAGGTTCATTGCTAACCTGAAGACACTAACACAAGGAGTCAGGAAGACTCAAACACAGCAGCATCAGACCTCACTTCATTGAGAGTATTCCTATTTCTTTGCCTCCTGTTTGCAATGGACAAAGCGTGAGTGTGTTGTCAGCTGACATCCCTCAGCTGGCCATGGCCACTTGTGTAGGAGCAGAAACTCTTTTGCATGTCAGAGTCTTAACATCAGTTTAACTCTCTTTTTTTCCCCCTCTGAGAGCCTTTCATTCCTCCTTACCACTTGTGCAGCAGGCTCCTGGAAATTATCTGAACTGCAGGTGCAAACCAGGAGAGAGTCAGGCCTTCGTTTGGCAACTGCTTGAACCATCTGTGAAAGAGAGTGGCTGGCTCTGCTGGTGTCCCTGGCTGCTGACCTCCCCTCTCCAAGTTTTTAAAGTCTGTCAATTCTATGAAATGTATTTTGCTACACTTCCTGGTGATGGATTTTTTGGCCTAAATTCACTGTCTGTCTTTGAGAAAATGGTACTGAAAGAGTTAAAGTTAGTGTTCCTTTCTTGTGCCTCCTTATGAGGCTTATGAGATAAGAAAATCGTAAGTGTCTATGTGGAGTAAAACAAGGGCAAAAGATCTTGTGGTGGCTATCCAACAGGCTATGCAACAGCCCTTGAACTTTGACACTCCCCTATGCCCTACCCCTTCATGCCTCACTTCTGTCAGGAGTGGCTGCAAGTGTGTCACCCCTCACTGCCCCTGTTCCTGGGGGCCAGGGAGGGCAAATAGCTGGGTACTTTCAAGAGCTGGAGGTCATGTACCTTGTTTACAAAGGTTTCTCTTTCTTTATTACTGAGCTAGTGCAGCTTTTTGTTCCTATTCCAGCTAATGGATTTTGTGGCACTTCATTTGGTTAATCAGTTAGCAGTGGTTAAACAGGGGAAAGATAAATGGCAGCCTGAGTAACGTCATCATGGTTTCTGCTAGTGGAAAGGAGTTTTTTGCCAGAGAAACCTCTTGTGAAATGTGAGAATTGAACTATAAGCACAGAATTTACCATGCTTTAAAATCCCCTTTTGAGTGCTCACTTCCTCCATAGGCTGGAGTTGTTGAAGAGGTTACCATTCCTAGACAGTTCCCAGTCACCATCAGGGTTGTCTTCTGCCAAAGGCTACCACCTCCCCTCCCTATCTGTAAGCTGCTCACTCAATTCCTCCCAAACCTGCTTTGGCCAAAGTCAACCAGAGCAGCTTAAGCAGTTTAAATAGTAGAAGTCGGCTGCACTGGTTTGTTTTGGCTGAAATGGATTAGGGGAAACCCAAGTCATCAGATGGGAAGTGAGGTGATGACTTTTTCATGGACAGCTTTAGGGGCAGTGGGAAGATGGGCCTAATCTGCTTTCAGAGCAGACTTGTGTATCAGACATAACTGCTACGGACTGTTCTTCAGGGTATTTAAAAGTGGACGTGTTGCTGAGATACTCACATTGAAACATTCATAGCATTTTTAGATACCACTTCCTTGTTGGCATGGAGAGCAGGGTACAGCAGTCAAGAGAAGCACAGGTTTGTGGGAGAGCAGAAATGGGAACATGAGGATTTGGAAACCAATAGCTATAGATTACATAAGACTCAGGGTGGGGAAAGAGCAGAAGAGAGAAAAGTTTATGGCTATAGATCAGTGGGAGATCACAGAGCTCAGTCCAGAGAGAAGGGATTTGAGCAGCGTGAGAAACACAGGCATCAAAGATGTGGGGTGGCGAGTAGCAATGCTCAGAGGCAAACAGTAATCCTTTCCTTCCACGTGTGCCTTGGACCTTGGAAGTTCTATCCCTCTGGAAAATGGTTAAATGAGAATAGCCTCACTATGTCACTGCAGGTGGTTTTCATAGTTCAGCTTCTCTGTAGCTTCTCTAGGACTGCCAGATTCACAGCCTATCCAATAAGCTGCAGGGGTATGCAAGTGGAGGGGTCTAGGTTTGATGCAGATATGGGGTTTGGGCTGGAATATAAGACAAGATAACACAATATTCTTGTTCTCTGTAGGACAACAGTGGGTGATTTCAAGCAATGAAAGAGAAAATAAGAATTATGTTAACTGGAGCAGCAGAAAGTACATAGAAAAAGGAAGGAGAGCATCAGCTGTTTGCTTCCCTGTAAATCCTTACTTCATAAACCCTGTATCCATTACTCAATAGAAATGTACATTATTTCTATCTTTACAATCTTTGTAGAGATACTCTTTATTTTTGTAAGCCTTCTGTGGG